ACTCACAAGTGTATATAGAAAACCCACACACATCGACCAGTAGCTCGCCTATGATTCGCACCACCCACAATCTGTTAAACGCGGTATTTTCAAGCGTTTACATGACCGAGCTAAACGCATCACCAAGCCATCCAGAACAGCCCAGGAGAAAAAAACATCTATCCACAGTTCTCGTCGCCAACGGCTACCCTCCGTCCCTCTTAAAGAAGGTGACCAAAACCAGGAATCCAACACCCGAGAGGGAAACAGCAGAATTCAAGTCTACCGCAGTGATGCCATACATCAAAGAAGTCCCAGAACCCTTCCGCCGCCACCTTCAGCAACAAGAAATACGCACCGTCTTTAAATCCGACATCACACTAAGATCTCGGCTGGTCAGACAAAAAGACCCCGCTGATCCAAACAAGCAAGATGACGTAGTCTACAAGATACGATGCACATGCGGCAAAGTCTACATCGGGGAAACAGGACGATCCATGCAAGAAAGAATGAAAGAACACGACAGTGATATATGACTCGCACGCACTCAGAATTCCGCGGTTTCAGAAATGCCAACGGAACCGGACACAAGCCGCTGTGGAACGAAACCAAGCTTATTGAGCGAGAAAGGCACTGGTACACAAGGAAAGAGAAGGAGGCAATTCACATAAGACTCGACCCAAAAAACATTAACAGGGACAGCGGAGCCGAAATACCGGAAGCGTGGATGCCTACAATAAGAAAACATCTAAACCAACGACGCACGAAAAACCAGCCAACGAAATGCACCATTCACAACAGACCACCATGATATATAATGCTGTGCCACAACCAGTCGACCCCATCGCCTGAAGAAGACTTGCAGTAAGCAGTCGAAACGTTGCGTTCCACATCAAGTGACCTTGTCGTGAGACAACAGAACAAACTTATAAAATCAGATAACACCTTTTTTACGCCAGGCAACCACGTAGGGTTACTCATCAAAGAATAAGAAGTTAAGCAATGTAATCTAAGGATAGGTTTAAGATGTTTTTTTTTGTTCTCTTGATCTTCGCTTCTTTTCGACTTTGTTTACACCATGCATTTATTAATGCTCATCCGTCTACTCTTCTTTCTTAACAAAAAATGACTGACTCTTTAATCAGTATTATTTCGACTGAGTGCACTTTTGATAACAAAAAAATTTTGAAAAAATGAAGTAGATAAATTTAAAGAACAGAAATATAAAACAGAAAAAAAACTCTGATGTCTCCATTTGAAATGCGCATTTTCGTGATAGTCTCTCTTAAAAGTATTACAGTCCAAATAAAAATTTTGTTTTGCTTTGATTTGGACGAAAAAAAGAATCTCTTTTCGGAAGTCTAAGCAAGACATTGACGGGGAGATACAACTTAAGAAAACCACTTCTCGGGAATTAAAGAGTAGATATCATTCATTGCTTCTCTTCTAAACTGCAAAACTTGAATTAAAAAATTGTTTAATTAAATCTGAGTATATGACAAATCTGGATATTACTAGTCCTCGAGCTTTGCTTTACGAATAAAAACAAATAGGGTTTATGTTACTGAAAATGAAACAGACTCAACCCTTAAGTAAATTTTAGAGTTATGCACAATCATTGAAAGCAATTTAAGGCAAGGGATCACAATCATTGTAAATAACAATACAGGCATAAGCTATCGAATCTTTCAAAAATGCTAACTTCTTACTAACCGATCGTGAGGGCCATAGAGGGATTATTTGCCCGAGGTAGTTTTTTGTAAGGCCCTTGCTGGGCTCGGTCCTTTCAAAAACGAGGGTCAATGTATCTCATTTGAGCTCAAGCAAGCGGGGTTAGTGAGTAGTTTATTATATGATGCTCGCACCAAACTTGTTTATTTTTAGTTCACCGACTTTCGTGAACAAAAATACACAGCTTATGTCTGTTTCCGTGAAAACAGTCCGTATGGCAAAATACGGACCAGGTAAGAACCAAACAGAACGCTCGGATTTACCTTTGGAATACCTTGCCATACAATGAATACAGTTACTTGTCATGCCTTTTCTTCTCACTCATCAAGATGATGAGCTGATCACTGTCTCGTTACCCTTTTCTTGCAGAACGATTAGTTGTATTTTAAGTTGCATTCATATGCGAGAAATTTTCATCTGACGCTATTCGTCGGACATAAAAGATGCACTCAGTAAGAAAATGATTAAGAATTGTTCATAATTTGCTCACAAGTAAGGCGTAAAATTTCATTACGTGGTCTAACGAGTGACCAAGAGCACTCAAATTATCTGTTAAACCAAGCATCGCAATCATGGACGGAGATCTTTAGATGATAAAGGATTATTTTTTTTCACTTAGTTACTGAATGCTTTCTTAAAGTACGGCTCTTGTGCACACAAACCAGATTTTCGAACAGATTACAATTTTTATAGTTTAGGGCAGATAATTGTGTAAACAGACATTTGTCATTGTTGGCACGTCCCCAGTCGCCACAAACTTCCATTTTTTCTTTCTATGATAATCTCTTTGTTTGAACATTGAACTTCCTTTTTTAGTGGTTAGCAGCTGTACTCGGTTGACAGTGCTCTTACCCACTCCACAAAGTTTACAGCGACACGTTCCAAATAAACAATTTAACGAAGAGTGATCCGATAGCCCGACTCCCTTAAGAATAATTTTTTATATTCCTATACATGTAATTTTGGCATGTGATTAAGCTTGAAGACAGGGAGAAAAGATAAAATTAATATGACACACAACGATGAAATAAAGTGTTGATTATTGTTGTATTTTTAACAATAGAAGATCTTCTCAAACCAATCATTTGAACTGTATATTCGTTAACTAACCACATGAAGATAAACACAAATTTGAAATGCACTTGAAATATTAAATTTTAATTTTCATACAGGTACTAGAAAATATAATGAAGAAAATAACGGTAATAGACGAAGATAACGAGGTCGTTAAAAGGATCGTAAGGGCAAAACTACTTGAAATGGTGAGTGAGTACGTTTTATATATGATGGAATGAGAGTTTGGAAAACGAGGCAATGTTTCACGAAAACGAATTGCTTGTTTACAATCAGTTTTGTTCAAAATCAATGAAGAGACGTGACAAGAAAATATCAAAATTTATGTGAGATGAAACACGCTTACGAAGATTCTCTAGACGACTGTACTTAAATGATAAAAATTATTTTATTTTGTCTTTGGATTGATATTTTCCTTCTGGCAATTTTTGAGGGTAAATCATTTGTGCTTCTCAATAACTATAAAAAAAACATTTTTGAAAAAACACAAAGTTTCTCTTATCCGGGAGAATAGAGCAGCACCTTCGTTATGGATATAGATACTATATCGTGTCATTCGGTGGAAAATGTAGTTTTCAAAACGACGAAAGGATTAAAACAAGCGATTAAAACTTTTTTGAACATTCAAAATGGCTGGTCAGAAAACTTTACGAAACGCCACAAATAATGCTGGTTTCAACTGGATTTCACTGTCGTTATTTCTCAGATAAGCGGGATTTGATAATCAATGCAAGTTTCATGCTCATTTAAACTGGTGGTCACCACAATTCAAAGAGTTTTTTCGTAGTACACCCAGGTTGTAAAACCAAAATCATAAGCGTTACACTGTTGAGAACAAAAGCTTTGTTGCTTTAATGCCTTTGTTCCATCTCCGCTTGGTAAACGTAGAGATTTAAATCAGTCAGTATAATCGATTGCTAGTCAAGTTCTCGTTCGAATGTGTGTGTATGGGCCGGTTGAGCAATAGACGTTGATTCAGCCATGTGTTTGAGTCGTTCAAGATCATATGTACATCTTTCATCGCACGAGGTAAATTGATGGCTTTTCTTTAAGTTTTTATGCCACTTGACAAGCCATCCCGAAATACAACTGGTGTTCCGGTGTTTGAGAGTAAATCTTGTCCATATAGATATACATATATATATACAAAACCATTATCTACGATCAAAGAGATTGCAAGGAAGTGCTACAACCAGATTTGTCGGATTCGTTGATGCATAAATGTGAATTGTGGGCATTAAACTTCAAAGAAAAACGAGATGTAAAAAACCAATCACAGATTGAAAACTCTCGTTTAACTCTCAACCAAAAAGATCCCTCGTTATTGTTTTCATCCTCAATCGTGCATCTCTTCCCCCCCCCCCAAGAATTAAAGAAAATATCATATATGCGCAAATATGACGGGAATATGCAAAGGCCATCGCGGGAACGGATTGTTGTTTTCAGCTGTGGGCACTAAAATCCTCCTCTGTCAAATTTATTTGATACATAAACCTTTTGAAGCAGTAATTCAAACTATTCCTTTTCTTACAGCTGAGTGAGTGATGAGGAAGATATCAGTTTTTATGTCAGCTATCTTTTTCTTGTCGTCACGGGCAAGCAAAGACTTTGGAAGGTAAGAAACACTTGCTGTGCAAAGAAATCTTCATAAATTTTGATCACGGCTGCTTCCCGATGTGTTCGGTTTAAAAAAATTAACGCTAAACTATTCAAGTTTTTCGCACAAAACTCTTGTCAATCTTCTCCATTCTTATCTTTCTCGTTCATCTCTGGTTAACTCCTTTTATTCTGGTCTATTTTCATCTTGTCAAACGGTATTTGAGAGTTCTTCCAGTTTGAGGTAACTTCTTGATGTGAAAATTTTTAATATTGAGCCGAATTGTGGTTCTGAAGCCCTCTTCTTTCCCCGTACTTTCACGGGTGAGAGTTTTCTCGGCGATGTGAACAAACAAGACGAGAACTGGGAAAAGGAATAATCCTGGAGATTGACTTGAGCCAATTCATAACAGAACATCCAACAAAAACGTTAAATTAAAACTTTGTAAGTATCGTGCAGCCAGTCTACTGTAAAAATGACACTTAATCACTAATGGGGAATTTAAACCATTTTAAAACCATTGCAAGTCAAGTCACATTACTTAGCTAAAAAAAAAATTATTGCACAAAACAAACATTCGACCATTGTGTCACATTAGCGTCATTTAATATGAATTTGTCTCTTTAGAAGAAGTTATGAGAACACAACTAAAGTTCTCGACTCACTTTCGAAAACTCCTAAATACGACAAGCGGATACGGCCCTACCACGAAGGTAGGGTGTTATTTTGCTCATTTAGACTTTCAGTCAATGACTAATACCCCATTCACACCAGCAAAACATGTTTTGTTAAACTGGTTTTCATTGAATGAAAATTATAAACAGAGGAAAAACTTGATTTTCCATTGGATTTTGCTACATTCAAGTCAAAAATATTCGGTTAAATAGTGTCATTTAAACTGTGTTTAACAAAACAACTTTTAAACATGTTTAAGCTTTGGTGTGAATGGGGCATAAGTGAGTCAGTCGGTTTATAAGTCAGCCTGTCAATCACTCAGGCTATCAGTGGTTCTTTATGTCAAAGTTTTTGTCTGTCCACCAGTTATCCAGTTTGCCACTCACCAATGTAGTAGGTTCGTCAGACAATAAGTTGGTAAGTCAATCTGTCAGTCATTGCAGCTATAGTCTTTCCCTAAGTCAGCCGGTCAGTTCGTCAATAACTTCTTCAATTCATAGTTAGTCAAACATTCACGCACTCGATAGGGCAGACTCTCAGTCACGTAGTTACTTATGTACACACTAGTCATTAAGCTCATCCCTCCGTCAGTCATTCAATCAGTCAGAAAGCAGTCGGTCTTTCAGTGAGTCAGTTGTTCAGTCAGTAAGTTGTTCAGTCAGTCAGTTGTCCAGGTACTTGTTTGAGTCAGTAAGTTGTACAGTTAGTCGTCAGTAAGTCGAGCAATCAATCAGTTAGTCAGACAATTATTCAATAAAGTCCGAAGGCACGAGCATTGTTGTTGAATCTCATCAGTGAGATAATTTCCCCACAGGTCCACCTTTGAACATTTCAGTTTACATGACAGTCGTTTCGTTTGGTGCAATAAAGGAAATAAACATGGTACGTGACAAAGTGATTTTTTAAAATGTTGAAATGTAGAGGAAAATAGCTGTAGAGCGACCTTCGTGAGGAATGCACTTGTATGGATGACAAGCAGCTTTTCAGTCCAGCTGATGTATTTTTTCCATCATACTTACGAGTTTTTTGAGCGATTAATTTAGAAAATTATCTGTGAATTAGGAAAAAATACAACACAAACATATATTTCATAAACTGTTTGTTTCTTTGATAGGAATATACCCTAGATATATTTTTCAAGCAAGCTTGGAACGACCCACGATTGAAGCATGATCTAAAGAAACCAATTCTTCTTTCTGGAAGTGAAAAGGTCAAGTTCTGGCTTCCAGACACATTCTTTCTGAATGTAAAGACAGCCAAGTTTCACCATGTTCCTGCTGCTAATAGCAGAGTTGTGATTAAACCGAACGGGGATATTGAACTCAGTGAGAGGTGAGAAGCTTTTACTCTAAATGTTTAATTGTATCCTTTGAAACGAACCGCGAAACGTTATATTTTGATCTCTCTCCTAAGAATTTAAACCTCTAAATAGCCAGAAACTTATCATTTTTGTGAAGTCAATCCAGCTTCGTTGCCTTTGCTGTACATTTTGAGATTGTCACCCCACTTGTAAAAACGATTGACTTTTTCGTCTTCTTTCTCTTCTTATCCTAAAGGCTTACAGTTTCTGCGTCATGTAGGATGAATTTAAGAGAGTATCCACTAGACACTCAGACGTGTGTTCTTGAAATTTTAAGCTGTGAGTATTATTAACCTTTCTAACTATGACAAATTTCTTTGTAAATTTATTTAGGATGTCTTGGTTTTAAATGTCCTCATCACTTTTTCGGTGGGTAATACAATGATAATCGACAGAAATGTTAGATTTCAATCAGCTCTGACATTTAAGACGTTCACTTGGTTCATTGTTTTTGCTTGAATTATCTTTTCCCTTATTTTCCAAAACGTATTCGGCAATTTACTGTTTTCTTGGTTTTTCTAGACTCATATGACATTAATGACATGGATTACCATTGGGACGACGAGAATGCAGTTATAATATTGGACGATGAAATGTCAGAGTTCGAACTGGCTAATGCGCAAAGTGAGCGAAAGCTTGTGAAATACGTCATAGGTATGCCTTTAAGGAATCTTTTTCCTCATTCACCTTTTCCCATGGATTCATATTCATTTAACCACACCAGTGATTCGAAAACATTAATTACAAATTCAAAGTGAGAGTACTTTCTGTTGTAACTAAAGTAAGTAGATATGCCTTTTTATACTGTCTCAGATTTTTTTTTTCAAGATTGGCAATTTTGTTTAAAACGTGTAATACCGTTATGAGTCTAATTACAAAAGCACGTGCAGTTTTCTTTAATCGAAAAAATGTCTCCTTTGAATTTTACCCTCTTTATGTTACATGAAGATTTACTTTAGGTAGTTGAAGTAGTCGTTGTTTAGTGACGCCAAAAAATAATGGATAGTTTATAGAAGTAAATTAATCAAACTTCCATTTCATCAGTTAAGTTACACTGGAGTGAACGAGTTGGTCAGTTTATAAGAGTCTATATCGCGATGGTCCTTAGTATGTGAAATCCCCATTAAGCTTAAGAAAAACGAATTATAATCTCTAGGGAGATGGATATATGTTAGCTCTACCAAGTTTAACTTGCTGTTGAATTAAGTTGATAACTCAGCAAGTTTAAGTGAATTTCAATGCAATCTTAAGAAAGGTATTCTCAAGAATCATGGTTTCATTTAATTTTTCACTATCAATAATTTCAAAATACTTCATTTCAAATTATGTTTGTAATTCACTTAATCATTTCATGACGCATGCACATTTTGAACGAGTTATAGCCCCTGTTCGATACATGTATTGTATAGAACTTTATTGTTTTGTTTTGTCTCCAGTAAATGTAGCAATCTGAAGATTTTTTATCTTTACAGGTACTTACACCCATTTGGTCGCAAAGTTTGTTTTCAAAAGAAGACTGGCATATTCGTTCATTCAAATCTATTCTCCAACGTTCCTCATCGTCGTTCTTTCATGGTTGTCATTCTGGATTTCTAAAGACGCAGTTCCCGCGAGAATTGCTCTTGGGATTACCACAGTTTTGACCATTGTTACACTCATGGGTTCACTCAGAAATTCTGTCCCTAAGGTAAGGTAATGATTATCTTGCATTAATCTTACTTTTACCCTTCTTATATCTTTTTTATAGAAAAGATGCATGACTTAGAGGCAAAGGGAAATAATTGGAAAGTTCTGGCTGCAGGCAGCCACCACTTTCCCAGATTTGGTCATTGGTTTCTTGTTGTAATGTTGAGGAATGCTCTCATCCAATCACATTCGAAGTGTTAAAAACAGCTCCCCACATTTGGTTGTTGTAGGAAATATAGAGAATTAGAGGAGGTATGAGATGATTGGTTTTTGCCTGGAAAAATTTTGCATCCGCGCTAAGATCATTTTCGGAAAGAGGACATGGTCGCTTGTCCACACACACGCAAAAAAATGTCCGTAGGCAGTAATAATAAAGCTATAGTTATCTCTCCAAAGGTTTCTTACATCAAGGCAATCGACTCATATCTCATTGTCTCCTTCATCTTCGTCTTTGGTGTCCTACTAGAATACGTAGCAGTTCTAATGCATAGCGAAAGAAAACGAATGAAGGCAAGGAAGAAACAAAATTCATCATCAAAAGATTATGCATTAGCGGAAATGGAGATAGAAAATTTTAGTGCTAATGCAGCTCCAAATCATACAAACACTCCCCTTGTATCCCGCTCGAGATCAGCACACAGCCTACCACCACAGAGGTCACCGTCTTCGTATAGTTTACCAGTGCGTCCAGTATCGTCATACAGTTTACCACCGAAATCTGTCCTTCGAAGTTCTTACCCACGTCAGGTCAGTACTGAGTAACGCAGACAGAGCAGGCCGATCGTTAGGAATACTTAAAATTTTTCGTTATAAAACATGAAAATGAGGAACCTTTGACGACTATGGAAGAAGTTGGTTGAGGAGTGGGAATACATTTTTTAACTATCAATTTGTAAACCTTTCTACATTGATCGTACAAGTGAAAGAAAAGCCCGGATGACAACAACAACAACTAACGATAACAATAACAAAAATTACTCGTTTCTTATTCTTCCTATGTGAACAACCACAAGCCAAGACTTTTACAGACATATAAAAACCAAACTTGTCCATGGATGCTTACATGGCTCAACATATTTCTATAATGTCCTGAATGTAAGCCCAGGAGAGATTCTTACAGTTGACATCCATTGTTTCGTGTGATTTTGTTTCAGAACGTTCCTGGACCAGCTATCCAACACAGTCCTTACACGACCAATCCACCTAGAACAACCATCATACAATGTATCCCCAGCTTCTGCTTAGCTCTTGGGTCAAATAGTGAGGTGGATATCTTTGACAGGATTGCCCGAATAATTTTTCCTTTGAGTTTCTTTGTGTTCAACATTGGTTATTACTTCAGATATTCAAACTAAGAGTACTGATTTATAGTCTTGGAAACGAGAAGGAATTTACGCAACATCGGTTAGGATACGAGAGTTTCGTCGTAGTCTTCGTTTGAATTATTTGATTGCAAGTTAAGTAGATATAGAAATTTTAAGAAGCAAGATCTGTAACATGAGAAACACTAACTAAAGGTTTTTCATAACGGCCAAATAAAGTGCGATTTCCATTACCGGTGCTCCCTGTATAAACAAAACTGACCAATCCGATTACAGGAAGCGAACATTGGATTTCACCAAAATTTTTTATCATCGCTACTTATTTAGCTCTAAGTAATGACTGGTTCAATGGAATTTAGTTGGAATTATTGTTCGTCTCCTATAATGCGTTTTGGTTGAGTTTGTTCACGTGACCCGCTTTAAAAGTGATGTTCTGTAAGAAGAGAGTTTTAACAGAGGTCTTTAAGTTTTTCTTTATGCTATTTTGAAACATAGAGAAGAGCAAATATTAAACAGTCCAATTGGAGCGCTATCAGCTATCTTCGTTTCGATTCCGTCTAAAATTCATGCATATGAAAGAGATCCTTCAAACTCCCCGTTACAGATCTAGAATGTATGAGAATTTTAAAATGATGAGTACACTGGATCTTTTAGTCGTACTGCCACTTTCTTCATTGACGCCGAGTCCTACGGAATCCGAATGCTGCCGTTGAGTAATTATCTTTTGTTGGTGTACTTAACAATAAAGATCGGTTCAGATTTAAGTTAGCAACTACAATTGCATAAAAAAAGCACTTACTCCACCACCACTCGCAGAAGGCAAAGAGCAACACTTTTAGAGACCCTGGAGGCTCTTCCAAAGCTTAATTCCATATCAAACGAAATTATTCATGCCATGAAAAGGAAATATCATAGTTTTTCTTACTAATACTACTAACCTATTCAAAAGTATATTTTATTTTGTTACTTTTTAGAAAAAAGAGTTCATATTCTCTTGGTTTAGAATCTATGTCTCAGTGAGGTCGGAGAACACCGTGTGTCTCTTTTCAACGCAGGATGAAGGCCGTACCTTCTTTAGAACTCTCAGACTCTTTCCGAAATCTTATCTCTGTAGCTTAATTGGTATTTTTTTTTGGATATTAGACAGAATGGCCAGTAGGTTTTATCGAAACTTTTGATTGCCTAGCCGTGTTGGGGGTGGTAAAGAGGATACTGAACTCTTGGTTCTTGAATTTTGCCATGAAACTCTAAACGGCGAAGTCCAGGGATCGTGCAACCCTAACTAAAATTGGAATATCAGGTGGTTGAAGAATTTAAGTTGACCTTCATACACATGATCGGTAACCACTGTCTTAAATGTAATGTGCACCTATCAAACCTCGATGAATAAAATCCTGGTAAGTAAGATGAAAAAACAAAGCATGCGTATAGTGAATCTATTTAATCTGTCTTCAATGTTAACCTTTCCTGAGTGTTGTCTGAAGTCACATACTTGTTACATATCGGAAGGTGGATGCTTTCCAAATGTCGACAACTCATAATAAGCCCAGTAAACCGCATTAAATACAGCGTAACAAAAAGGAAAAATATAACGACATACTCGGTCAATTGAGCTACCTTCATTCCTTACAAAAGCATAGCGCATATACTCTTTGGCCTTCCTTACTGAGCTATGTTTCCCTTTCTTAGACTTTTCTTTCGAAGATTCCAGACTCTCTACTTTGATTTCCTGCAATTCTTGTATGCTATTAAACACGTCTATCTGTCATTTAAAGAAAAAAAAAGGATGTCGGAAGGTTAAAGACAACTTCAACATTTGAATGCACCAAAGTCGATCATGGTTCAGACAACATAAACAGGATGAAAATGGTTTGTGTACGTGTAACATCGTTAAGGGCTAGACAAGCAAGACAAAATTTCGCTTATATTTTTCACTACATAGTTCAACAAATGCAACTTTCCGATGTTAACATAACCAACCTAGAGCACGTGGTCTGATTGGGCAATTCTGTGTTTACTACTTTTTTAAGGGTGAGCGCTGCAGACCTGAGCAAATGTAATGTCTAAGCAAATGTAATGACTAATTTTTGCGTTTGCGCGTTTGTTTTGTCTACACAAACATTTTTGGTGTAATAAAAAGGTAACTCTTGCGCTACAATGTATCAGTGTACTACACTACAGGGTTATATAATGATGCATGCGAGAGGTTACTATGCACGTAAGAAGCGTAAGAGTCGCTCGAGGCGATAGTCGAGAGCGACTCTAGCTTCTTGAGTTAAATAGTGAGCGCGTGCAACATTAAAAAAAAATTTTTTTGGTCATTAAATATAAGTTTATAAAGGTAGATAGGCCTCCTAGACAGTTTTGACCGTAAGAGTTTTGCCCCAGCAAAGTGGAGGATGGTGGGTTGTGTTTTGATTCAGTGAGGTTAACGTGGTATTGAATGAAACTGGGATTCATTACATGAGAAACGTTTTTTTCTTCCCGAGGGAGAGAAGGTGCAGCTTGAAAGGTAAATTTTGTTCAGTTTTGCCTTGGCGGAGAGAAAGTCCAAATGTTATCTGTCTTTAAAATAATAAGAGATGAATGGATCGGTACTTCTTTGCGTGCGCGAGCATTCAAAATAACTAGGAGTCCTTCCGTTTTGATACAACTTCTATTAGAGGAAAATTAACAATATTCTTGTCTCGTCACAAGGAAACGAGTGTTTGAAGTCAACTGAGATCACGTTTTTCGAGGGCAAGATTGTTGAGGAAGAGGGTCAATACCAATGGAATTCTCTTTGCTTTAGAGGCATTTGTAAAAGGAGTCGGTACAGTCACGATTTTTTAAAAATTCTCACGTTTTGTAGCCGCTACCATTTATAAATAAATTGATGTCTACAAAGGTGGCTGAAGTTTCCAAATTTCTCAAGTAAATTTACCGAAGTGCTGAATGAAATAAGTTAATTAAGTTGATAAATTGGTCAAGATTTTCTTCTTCAAAATAGGCAGTAAAAATGTAGTCAACGATAAAGTGTCCGAAAAGGTTCTGGTTTAGGTTTGTTCTTTTGGTTGAGAAAGTTGGTTTTCAATTTATCCGTGGAATAGATCGCATCGCTAGGCCCCATTTTCATAAACTTCCACGAATAAGTTTATCTTTTAGAAGAGATTGTATAAATGCCTCGATAAAAGCTGTGTCTAAGCGAAACGCTAGTATTACCTTTGAGCCGTTTGCCTCATTGTTATTTCCTGAGAGATGTGTACTACTGACACGTCTTTGGCGCTTTATTCCAGTGTTAAGCAAAACTAAAACGTACTCAAAGACTACCGCGAAAACGAATGCAAACGAAACGATAAAGTAGACATCCACTGCTTTTATATATGATACCTGAAATGTGAAAAATACAGCACGAGTAACTTCTACTTACGGAATGATTCCTTATAAGGGATATGACCTTAGCTAGGCAAGTTTGATGCAGATTTTATCGCGGAAATCTGATGGTGTTTCTTAATGTTTAATAACTGCGAACAGCAATTAAAAGTGTGCTTTACTATAAGGGATCTCTGCTAAAACTGAATCACAATAAGACTCCCGAAATAATCAATAAACTGAAAGTATACTATCACGAGACTCACTAAAAGTTCGTGTTACAGTTGACTAACGAGGACACCTATATGCAATGCCCATTGCCAGTTTTTAAAATAAAAAACAATAAAAAAATTAAAATAAAATACAAGTATCAAGGACAAGAATTGTTGCTAAAAACAGACCTTTGGTAGAGAACTCCTGAATGAGCCAGTAAATGTCACAATAGAAAGCACAGTTGTACTTCCAAGCGCTACACGGGCTGGAACAGATTCTTCAGGAATCCAAAAGGAAAACCAAGACAAGACCACAAGCATGATAGTAGGGATGTAGATTTGAAGAAGTGCATATCCCAGACGCCGTTTGAACCAAAAACGAGCCACGAGTTTTGTATGTGATCCTAACACAGGTCGAAAATCAATACTTGATAATCCATAATTTGATTTGTACAAAAACAACTTAAAATTTAGATAGGTAAATACATTAAGGATCCTAATTCCTTTAAAAAAAATCCAGGTCTTGGATTATGAAATCAATAAGAAAGTGATTCTGTGGAGAACACAAGGACAAAACTACTAAATATAGGCAAAGAGTAAATGACGGTGAGGAGAAACTTTGTTATACTAACACCTCAACTAGAATTCCGAAGTTGTTCGGAAACCCCTTCAGGCAATCCGATTGTTTTCCGCAGAATCAAGCAAGCAAGCAGATTTGCTTGGCAAACATTAGTTTTGAAATTCTGTGCGACAGCATCGTTTTCAGATATGAGTCTGTTCTATGGAGAAGTGAGAGAGTAGTTTCAAAGAATACTGTAATGTTATTATACAATTTATGCTTTTTTTAATTCGAATTACTGGCTAAAGAATCAAGTTTGATTTCGTTATTACTCACCGTCAGCATAAACCTCATATTTGGTTAAGGTTTCTGTGTCGATGAGCGCTAATTCGGCTAAATGTTCGTCCTTGACAGTTATCGGAGCATCTCGACTTTTATTCAACCACCTGAACTCGAGATTTTCTTCAGTATATGCATCTAAGCAGGAAAGAGGTTCAATAGATAAAAAAATGGTAAATATAGCGGCCATAAAAGCAAAGCAGGCACAGTCTCTTCGACACATCCTGAAAATGCCCGAGTAATAAAAATTAGTCAAATTTTACTGAAATTTCGCGATTTTCACAAAGAACTTTAAACAGTTTTCTCAAACCACCGATGCACTGTATGGAAATCAAAATGTGCATAAGCAGTGGTTTGCTCGTTGATGTCAGGAATATGCAGTACTTAATACAATGGATAAAATCATTTATTTGAATACTCAACAAGTTGATAACTCTAAGTCACACATCTGTTCATCCATTGGATAGTCCCTTAAGTTCATAGGGCATCCTGCACTAATGGTTATTCTGTAAAAGAAAATGGATTTTTCTAGATTTATGAGCATGGTCTAAGCGTAAATGTAAAGAAAAAGCTTTAAACCACCAGGTGAAGCTGAGGATGTCTATTCATCTACACTTCCCATCTTTGTGGCTAAAAATAAAGTTGAACTACTCATCATATTAATTTTACAATAACAAATGAGCAAAGAGAAGTGTACCTTTGAATAAGAAATAGAAGCAACGAAACATTCTTTAAATCTGATTTTAGTATCCCGATTCTTTTTTCATTCCGTAAATACCACCAGGTTTCACATAAATCATCATAAGTTGCTTCATAACCCAAAGGAATAACAGTTTTATTAAGGCTCTACCGTTGTGAAGGATGTGTGACAGATGAGCTTGATTTAGGAGCCTCCGTAAGCGTGTAATGGTAAGGATATTCGAAGGATTAGTCAGGAAGTCATGGGTAGACTCTAACTGGGAACACTTGGATACCACTCATTTTAGAATTCCTTCAAACGAGTTTCCTTCTATCACAGTGAAACTTTGCCAACAAGGAGAAATTAAATAAGCCTATAGCAGCCATTCCCACTTACATTAAAGTGAGAAGCTTATAGTCGATCTTTTATATTCATTTCACAAAAACGGGCTGAATGTACCTGTAGTTTATATATGTTGCTAACGATAACGCGGAATTGAACTTTTTCGATTCACCTTATAGGGGATGTGATATCTTCTTACATAAAGGGAATTCCATTTATCTTCACAACTTCACTGCAAAATATACTTACCTTGAACTGTAAGTTACGAGACCCGCGGGGCTTATTGAGACTTTGCTGTTTTCCGAAATGACGTCATGCACAGTAGCACTTCTCACGTTCAAGAAAAAAGTGTCAGGGAGCCAAATCCGGTGCTTGGCGTTTGCAGGCAAAGTAATGGAATAATTCAACGAATGTTTCAACCGTGCATCCATCCACTTTTGCCAGATCACAAGGTCTAGGGAAAATTCCTGTGTGCGAAACAGCAGCAAATGATCTTCTCTCACTGTTACATGTATATCTGACCCTTTTTAATAAGACCCACACAGTAATACTTGTGGTGTTTCACTCAGTAATGTCTATTTGTTTCCATCGCATCGATTTACCAGGATAAGCATTACTTTTGTCATTAAGAATAACCAGTTATTATTCCTTTAGAGTGTTTCGACTATATTTAACAAAGTCCATCAAACTGGAACGAAAATCATCTATAAAAGTAGAAGAGGGTGAGGCTTTTTAGGAAACTAAAAGGGAGTTAGGCATGGTGCAGTTTCAATCTTTCTCATTAAAAGCGGATCATGATATATCACGTTTCCTAATTAATCGTTGATCAATTTATAAGTCAATACATCTAATCCCATACGCTATAGACGTTTTTGTAAACTAAAACAAATCATTTTTTCTCGCTCCTTTTGGTCATGTGATCATTATATCCATACAATGTGCACACAAAGAATAATTTTCAGATTATAGCATGGTGGCTGAACCGATCAAAACTCCGGAACTGCCGGACATAAGGACCCACTTTTTTAACAAAAATAAACATTTACCTCTGTATTTGTCATTAATCTTATTAACTCGATTACAATAAGCCTAGTTTTTCATACCTCGTTCATTTCCCTTACAGCTACGAAATGTACCACAGTTAGTTTGACGGTGACATTAACTGCGTAACCTGTTGATTACCACAAAAATAATTCTTGTTTGCTCATCAGGTTTAATTTGTTAAAGCCCACAACCTTAAAATGTTTTGATTCAGTATTTCACCTTTGTGATACGGCCGCAAATATTTGTGGTAAGTATCAGGATCGGTTATTTCATGGAGCTTTTCTGCGGTTTCTTGATAACTGCAAAGATGAAAAATTGAAGATGGTACTTTTCTTTTCAGCTCAAGAAAAAGGGAGCAACAATCATTTCACATTTTTACTCTTTGAATATAAGTATCGATTCTCAACACCGTCCGCCATACATTTCTTATAATCTCAGCTTAAAGAATTTCATGTCATATCACGTGGTACTCCGTAAATTATATTTTTCAAACTCTTCTCATCACATAAATACTTCGTATTTGGTTTCTACTGGGAGCGAAAATGTTTCGCTAATTCAAGGGATGAATTATTGATTCATCACTGATTCGCTTCCCACCTCATTTCTTGCCAAAAAAAATGACTTTTACAGGGGCTGTTACCAGGTGTTTCATAGAATAATTTGCAAAGTCGCAAATGATTTGTTGAGCTTGGACCAGGTGTAAGTTGTTTTGAATTCTTGACGACTGAGCGTTTTAGAGTGAAGAATTCGCGATCACTGAGGAATAATAATAATGTTTTGACGAGCCTGAGGTTCGTTAAGAATAAAATTCGATTCGGCCTCTACATTTCTAAGAAAACAAAGTGCAGGTGAATTCATACGCTTTTAGTATGTTTATAAAATTCATACAGTATAGAGCTGCACCATTCGTATAGAGAGCTGCTTGTCTTGGAAAATCTACAGACATTTATTGCAGTCACTTTCGATGACACTAAATACCGCTAAAAGTAAATTAGGATTGCATTAATGAGATATTGTTATGAGTATGCTTTGTGTAAAGAGCGTATGGAACTTAAGTTATAATATATGCGCATTAAAATGTGAAAACAGGTCTTTTCTCGTTTAAAGATGGCGCAACATCAAAACGTAAAAAAGGCAGCGAAATATTACAGTTAGGACGACGATGATAGAGCGATGTTGAATTCCTTTCCTTAGTGATGAAGATTAACTTATATCTTTACAACAGATAAAAGGAGAAGTTTGAAAATGATCCTGCATTCTGGGTCAAGTACAGTTTACGATAAAATGCAACTGAGAGAGTTCATCACAGCACATATTTTACCAAGTTTCCGTCGTGCCAACAGAATAACGATTTTTCGTCGTATGCATTCGTCGTGGGAAAGAATCGTTAGTAAAGCCATTCATCATTATTTGATGAGTTCATACCAACCATAGGAAACCGTATTCATTGCCAATAAAACTACAGAACCCGAATGTTTGTCAATGAAAACTCAAATTAATCGATATGATTCAAATTTTACTTACTTCGCTTTCGATGTCTTCAACAGAAGAGCCATTAATATCCAAACGAAAGCCGGTAATCCGAATCTTAGACACATCTTGAAGGTCTTGGCAAGACCTGTGGGAACAGCATTCGTTCAATATGTAAAAATTGTAAAACAAATATCTCTCCATGCAGTATAACGATTGTACGTTTCCCATTGGCTTATTTCCCACGATTGCTTTGACATAGCATATCGGCAACTTAATATACGAAACCACACGGAAAGCAAACAAGTAGCTGTTTTGCATAAAAGGCATCTCACACTTTTTATACCTCCATAGAGCAGATTAACGTTCTACGTAGTTGGTATGTCATTCTTGATCCTTTTTCCATTCTATTTCGACGAAAGACAATTTATCATAATTATGAAACACTTAGGTGCCATATAAGACACCACAACTTCAGCCTAATGGGCAGACATGTTTATTACATAAAATTAATCCTCTTCCAAAAGGAATATATATAACTGCGCTTAAGAAATTTAAATTTTGTTACCATTCAAAACACATGAGAGACAGTGAAAGCCTACTCTGTACGGTAGAGTAAGAATGCAAGCTTTGTCTAATATTTGTGACGATTAACGAATTACGTAACGTCTGTTTACAGACACAGCGGTTTATAATAATGTAATATGCGAGAGAAGAGCTATTCATGGCAAAATCAAAAGTGTTTCTGATGCATCTTTTTCCACTTAAAGAATATTTTCTTTTGGAAAAGACGATGCGAACCTAAATTTTTACTTGAAAGAAAAGGTTTTAGCTTGGACAGGTGTTAAATGGATTTGAATTAACTAAGCTTTTTGTATTATCAACCACTTTCCCCCTTTGATACGTTTGTTAAAATTTGTCTAGCCGACGAAGTATGAAGAAAAAAACAGACCAGAATTAATCGAAAACAGCGTCAGTCGACAACATTAAATATTTTTAGAGTAGCTTTTAATTTACCCATTCTGCTTTGTGGATTATCCAGTTCTGCCTTAAGGCTTATGGTATTTATGGAAGCATTTTAATCACGCGAGACAGAACTGATGCTCTTTGTAAAACCCATGGAGTCCCGGAGAACGAAGCGAGTCAACCCACAGGGTTCCACTAGCTTAAAGCTCTTTGAAGAAAACGAGCCGAGATGTAAGCCTGTCCACACAAATAGCGACACAAATAGTGTGCGTTCTTCTTACGTCGAAAGTAATAATGATAATAATAATCGTAAATAATAATAATAATAACTTTTGTATATACATTAGTAATTTTTGTAACTGCTTCCATTGAAGCTAAGTGTTACCGCTTCCGAGAAAAGCTGCGAAATATTTTGTGGTTAGGTTTTAGCTAGAAAATTATAGTTAGCGTTTCAGTTCAAATAAGACCCCGTGTGATCAAGATCGTTTTTGAATAGAAAACAAGTTACACCGCCGGCAATCCTCGATAAAGCAATCAAGACCCACGAACGTTGGTAAGCAATAACTTGTTTTGTGATTATGTTATCTAGCTCGTAGTCGTTACTCAAAGCGAAATTTATCGCTCGTTTTTACCTTTCTTTGGTTCTTTTAATTGCCACGTGCTCGTTTCCAAAATCAACATTATTCTCAAGCTATGATCAAAATACCTAGGTTATTTCTTCACGTAATGATTTCAATTGACCGCTTCGATATAATAACATCCCAGAGAATAGGAAAGGAATAAAGAGAGAAAAGATCCTATTTTGGTTTGGTGTTTATTTTGGTTTGGTGTTTATCGCATGCGCGTGTATCAACCCGGGAATCGAGCTTGCAACTCTAGCTTGAAAAGAAACATTTACAGTTTTTTTGACCTTTAGGTTAAAATTCCTGTTAAGCAGATCGGTCACGTATTCACGCCTGATCTTGTAATTTTTTTTTATGTATCCAGAAGTTTTCACTGCATGTAATGATAATGATAGTGGTAATAATAATAATAGTGATGATAATAATAATTTATGATAATAATGTAAAGCTTTATCGACAACTCAGTCAGAATATTAGTAAATGGATAGAGAATGAAAATAAATCGTGCTTTATTTACAAAAATGTATATTAACTCCGAAGAACTTGCATAACTAAAGCAAAAAAGAGTTCACTGGTAAAATTTTCAACATAAAAAGCAACTACTTAGAATTCAATATTTCAAATACTTGTGAAGGATAAATAATCTAAAAGTCAATATTTATAAAAAGAATAATAAAAAAGGAACATATAAAAGAAAGTAAGTCTAAAAATTCAATGGACATGGCGCTTTCTTTTGTTTGGATGTCAATGTTCTTAATGTCGCACGAGACTCTCTTAATAGTCCTGGAGCCTCTCAGACACAATAGAGCGCATCTTATTGATGAGAAAAACGTTTTTGCTCTGATACACGAGATGGTCTTCGCATAACTCCCTCCTTTCTTAGTTGAAATCAGGTCAGCTAGCCGGCTATGGTGTCTGTTGCATTCTTTTCCCAAACCTCCCGTTGTGGTGAAGACCAATGGTGTAAACGTATCACATTCAACTTCAATAACTCTGTCCTCATATAGACACTTCTTCTCGTTTTTGTGCAATTTGCAGATCTGTTGAGGTTCAAGACCTTGATACAAGTCTACATTTGGGTAACATACCCTAACGTCAAAAAAGGTAGATCGTTGTCTTCCCCAAAATCCTCGAGCATGAGTGTCCAGTCTTGCTTCCAGGACTTTGTTTGTCCCTCTACTTAGTTGTTCGCCTGTAATGTCTTGAAGGACGGGTTCTGTCTGAACATCATTGCATACCAAACTAAGTAACTCAGCCTCGATATCGTGTAACCCATTATGGAGCTGAATTACAAAACCCCCACGTTTACAGATCATGGCATGGTCCACAGAAAAGGCTTCGCCGCAAACGCATGTGCATGGAATGTCGTCAATTAGGCAATCGTAGCGTAGCTTGATTGCGTCTCTTAACTCCATCTTGTTCAGGTTGAAACCCATTTCTTTCATCGGCACCACCGACAGCCAAATGGATGCTCCTTTGTATTCAACCAGATATGGTGACCATGATACTCTTCTTGGTAATGTGTTTTTGACATGTTCAACTGAGATTTTAAATGCCTTTTCTCACTTCGGGCTTCCTACTGCGCTGAACGCACATTGAAGTCATCTGGGAGCTTATGTGTTTGGGAAACGATTTCTCAACTAACGACATGGTTACTCTCTCTGACGATTAATACTCACTATTTGCTTCATGACAGGGGTTTGTGATTCCAAGGCTACCATGACACACTAGTAAAGCAAACATATCCCGCTCACTTGAACTGCAGCTATGTTCCATTATTGTTGGAATAAGGACATTTGATATTGCATTCTCCAGTGGTTCTAGACGATCCTGAATATCAGGTAGTGTTCTAAGGAAATAGGTCCAGGGGTGTTTCAGGCTGAATGTGAAAGCAGCATAGCATGCTTGAGGCTGTGACAGTACAAACTCGGTCAGCCTGGCCACTTGTCCTGCATGTGACTTTGTTAGTGCTGTATTCGTTCAGGAATGCTGCTGAGTCTACTATTGCCCCCAGATGGTTGTGTGCTTATGTGGTTACATTAATAACCGTATCTTTGAAGGCTTCCCTCGCGAGTGCTTCCTTTTCGGGTTTTGCAATAAGAAAAAATAACAGTAGTAATATATATATATATATATATGTGTGTGTGTGTATGTGTTTGGGTGTATATATACATACATAGATACATATATATATATATATATATCGGTATCCTGTCTCTGAAGACAATGGAAAATGCGCCAAGAGATTAATGTCTGATTGAGTTGCAGCGCCTGCTGTGGCTGTACGATTCGATTCTTGATCGACAGGCTCTGTTGCAGTTTTGACAGGTCTACATGTCCATGCTTGGCTCTGTAGGTGCTGTTGCTGTCCTATTCTGTCATCCGCGCTCTCTCCAGGCGTCCCACAGGTCTTCTCTCTTCTTCTTGCTTGTCTGGATCCCTGTTTTGTCTGGATCCCTGTTTCGACGGCGAGCCTCCAACTGTCGATCGGTCTGAAAACGCTTTGCGAAGGACAGGCTCCTGTTTTTAAAGACTATAAGGAAATTGACCAAGAGAACTTTTACTGGAGATGAAATTACATCGAGAATTGAGGAAGGAAAGGGTTGACGGTTTATAACGATCTGAGTTTTTTGATGTCGCCTGCTTCAGATCTCGTTTGTTTTATCACATTCAAACAAAAAACGTCTTTGTATCGAAGGACAGGTCTTCCTGCAAGTCTAGTGCCAGTAGCAAGCTCTCCATACAGCATTTCCTTAGGAATTCGACCATCTTCCATGCGGCTTAAATGACCAAGCCAGCGCAAGCGTCTCTGGGCGAGCAAGGCAAGCATACTGGGTATTCTTGTTTGTGCTAGAACGTTCTTGTTTGGGACATGATTATGCAAGGTGATGCCCAGGATCTGTATGAGACAACTCGGGTGGAAGGCATTAATTCTGCTCCCTTGGTGAGAGTACAAGGTCCATGTTTCGCTGCTGTAGAGCAGTGTGCTGAGCACGCAGGCTTGACTGACCTTCATCTTGGTTTTGATGGTCAGCATGGAGTTGTCCCAGACCCTTCTGACCAGAAGGGCCATTACCGTTGCTGCCTTGTCGATCCTTGAGTTCAGCGCAGCGTCTAAAGAGAGGTTGCTGGCGATGGTGGAACCCAGGTAAGTGAAAGTGTCTACCACCTCGAGAGTGTAGTCACCGATGGAGATGTTGGGAATTTGGCTGACGTCTTGGCCCATGATGTTGGTCTTCTTGAGACTAATAGTAAGACCAAACTCATGCCATGCACGTGCAGAGCAGTCTACAAGTCGATGTAGAGCTTCTTCGGTGTGTGCCGCCAGGGCAGCATCGTCTGCAAAGAACATCTCCCTATTCAATACTTTCCGCACTTTCGTCCTCAATCGAAAACGTGCATGGCTGAACAGTTTACTATCACTTCTATTGTGGAGGTACACGCCATCCTCTGACAGGCTGAAGGCATGGGAAAGCAGCAGAGAGAAGAAGATTCCAAAAAGTGCAGGAGCAAGTACACACCCTTTGTTTCATCCCGCT